CCCCAAAACCCCAAAACCCCAAAACCCCGTTTATGCTTTGTTTGCTATTTATGTGAATTTTAATTAATTGATCAAAGTATTTATATTTTAGGTCTACATATTATGGATAACTCACCTACATCGGGAAAAAAGCGCTCAGCAAAGTAACCACTCAAACAACTTGAAGAAGAGGTGATGAGTTAGACTCCTGTTGGTGGTAAATCCAAAGTTAAAAAGGATTAGAGTCAGCAAGATGAGACTAGCTAGAAATTCTTTTAATCATTAAAAGATATTGAAGTACATCTGGGCCCATCATTGTGCGGCATTTGTGATAGAGATATTGGCAAAAGCATTAAGATAAAGTGCCTAGAATGTGTCAACCAACCTCTCAATATGTGCCTCGAGTGTCTGAGATTTGGAAGAATTTCAAATGATGTGCCAGAGCATTAACCTAATCATAGTTATTTCGTTTATGATAACCTGAACTTCCCTCTTTTTACTAAGGATTGGACAGCAAAAGAGGAGCTACTATTATTATAGGGTATTATGAAATGCGGGCTAGGAAATTGGGCTGACATTGCTAGCAAATTTGTTGAAACCAAGGATATGAAGGAATGTGAGGAGCATTACTTCTGCTTTTACTACAAATCTAAGGCAGAATCACTTCCTTCAGAAGATGACTTCATTCTAAAAAATTAGAAACAACTTAGACCAGATGGGACTCCATATATTTCGATAGATGAAGATAAAAATGTGCAAGCATTAAGAAGAGTAAAAGAATACTAAATAAAAAAGCAAGTTGAAGCTGAAGCAGAGCAAAGAGAATTCTAATAGTAGCCAATATTATAATAGAATGACCCTAATAATTAGCAACAAGGAAGAGCTGGCAATAAAAGCTAGAGAAATAATGCTGGTACCCCTGATCTTCATGCAATTGTAGGCTATATGCCTAAAAGAAAAGACTTTGACCAGGAGTATGATAATGATGCTGATACACTTCTCGCTGATTTAGAGTTTTATGACGACGAATCTGAAAATGACATCAAACTCAAAAACGAAGTAATTGAGATATACAATGCAAGGATTGATGAGAGAATAAGAAGAAAGAATTTTGTGATTGAAAGAGGTCTCTTGGACTACAAAAAGAACCATAGACTAGAAAAGTCTAAAACAAAAGAGGAAAAAGAGATAATAACAAGCATGAAGATATTTGCCAGATTTAATACTCCAGAGGGGCACGATAGATTAGTCAATAGTTTAATCAAAGAAAGACTACTCAGAGAGGTGATTGAACAGTTGAAGTTCTTTAAATAGAAAGGACTTACCAGTCTTGATCAGATAGAAAAGTTTATCGATTTGCAAAAGAAGAAAAACACCTCAAATCACAATCTTAGCAATCAAGATAGACCCAAATATGATGAAGTAGAGAAACTTTTGCAGAATCCCAGAGATTTTATTAGTTCAAAGAATACCTAACTGCTTGATGCAACTTCTCTTGACAAAAAATATTAAAAAGGATAAGCTTCTAGAAATCTTAATTCAAGTCCGATGATGGCAGAGCCTCGCTGGGAGCAACTAGATAATAAAGAAAAAAATCTCTGCGCTGAGATAAACTTGAAACCAGATGACTACCTGAACTTGAAATAAAAGATTATTGAGTAATAGGCAAAGAACAAAAATATCACTTAGGCATTGCTGAATGAGAGAGGAAGAGACTTGAAGATAATCAAGGAAAAGATTCCACTTATTTTCGATTTCTGGGTGAAATCTAATATGATCAACAGCAAATGAGCCGACTAAAATGGCTCTTTAACATGATTATGCTAGTTAGATAGTGATATAATGATGTTTAAGACTAAATTCTAATTTTAATTGATTTATATTGTTGATATGTTCTATATAAAATCAAATAATTTGCGTTAAATTTGGCTTTAGGGGTTTTGGGGTTTTGGGGTTTTGGGG